TATTGATTGAAGAGTGGATCGGGAGTGCTGTATAGAACACCATATGGTTGTAATGATGATTGTTGTCTTTCATTTGTTGAATTATATATACCTGCTCTTTTTTTGTTTATATCCAACCGATTGCAAGAAATACCAAGGCATGTCGTTTTCTTATGCTTTGTGCACTTTGTTCTTATGGAACATAGCAGTAATCATCACGGATTCATTTGTCGTGTTGTTGGAATCAATCTTCATATGCTCTTAGAATAAATATTTGAAAGTTGAAAATAAGCTTAAGTGTTGCGTTAATATTTTAATTCCCAAGCCTCTCTGTTTTCTCATATATCTTATTCAGGTGATGGCATTATGCTGCTGTGAAACTCAAGTTTTCTCAACTAAAGGGCATTTTTCCTCTTTCATTATTCCTCTATGTGTGGTTTACTTAATTGTTCGTATATGGTTAACTTCTTTAAGGGTAGAGAAGCAAAAAGCCTGGCGGTGGCGGGCACCGTACGAGCTCGAGAGGTGGACGTGGAAGACAACGAGCTCGAGAGGTGGACATGGAAGACAGCGTGAGGCTCAAGCGAATGGGTCAAGGACCAGTAGAAACTCCCTTGACAGTGGCAGCAGAAAAACAAGTCCACCTCCGACGACAGACCACTGGTCCTCTTGAGTTTTCTTTTCTTCATTTTACTTTTAATCTGTTTTTTGTTTCGGGTAAATGATATGAACATTTAATTAACAAGATAACTATGATTTTTTATTGAGGCAGTAGCCGGACAAACTGCAGGCTGAAAGGCAGCAGTCGTTTAACCTAATGGAAGCATAGGATGTGCGAAAGAAGCTTCCAAGACATCGTACCAGCAACAACTATCTGTGACTTTCGTGACTGAGTTTGTACGCTGGAATGAAGAAGCTAAATCCACTTTGTTTTCATCACAGGTATGTATGTACGAATTTTGCATTGGGTATGTTGTTTTGGCGGTTGTTATAACAAACGTAGCAACATTAACTTTTAACTTTGGGTGGGTCGGTAATTAAAATCCGACGAGGATGACAAAATTTTCACACTAATTTCATATGGCTTGTATTATTTTTATCTACCGTGATAGATTTAGTTTTGGTTATTATGCACACTTCTTGGTACCACAAACAACGTGACTTTGTTTTTGCTTGTTTTTTGCATTTACTTACTTTTTTCTGACATGATAGTGGGTATGTTGGCCTTAAAATTTTGTTGGCGATTTTTTTTTTTTTTTTTTTTT